CTGTTGTCATGAGGTGTTTGGCAATCGATGACGTTAAGTTTCTAGCCGTCGGTGCAACAAGTTGAGGTTGGTGCGTTATCATTTGTTTATCATGTGTTCGGGGACTCGCTGTGATAGTTGTCAATATGTTCTGCCTATGTAAACGACACTGCAACTGCAAGTGAACTGGTGCACAACATGGGAGATGGAAGAGTTTGACAAATTGATTTCGCGATTGCGAAGAACTGGTCCTCTGGTGGTTTGAAATAAGCGCAACTGTACAGCAGACTTTAATTTTTGCTTTATGTCGTTAGATGGATGGTCACATTTGAGTGGCAAGAACAGGAAAACATTCTTCTTTTGAGCCGTCAGTATGAGCTCAGTGTTCTTCTTCACCGTATTATTTACCCCGATGAACAAAGTTTGTCTCACCAACTCCTGTTCTGTCTGCAGTGTATCAGGGGCGCAAATATCCCTGGCTCTATGAACCAGTGTTTTAACCAAACCCCATTTGTATGCAATAGGAGCAAAGCTGGACAACTGAAGATAATGACCACCCTATGTCGCTTTGCGATTAACTGTGCGCTGTAACGTGCCATCCGCACGTCTAGTAATGAGTTCATCCAAAAAGATGAACTACTGTTCGATTCACCGTCGTGAGATAAAGATAGGTTGGGTGAATGTCACTAAGAAAGTTGAAAAACAAATCATAATGAACATCAGTAGAAATTAAAGTACCATTAACGTATCGTATGTACAATAACGATTAGGCTATATAATCCGGGGCTTGCCGCTCAGTCATTCCTAGTATGTCCGCTAGAGTTGGACCTAATTGACTGCCCACGGCAACACCGTTTATCTCTTTGTAAGCAAGTCTCTCAAAATCGAAACGTATGTTTTCTGTGCACAACAAAATAAGACCTTTGAGGTATTCCAGTGGAACACCCATATCACAGACATTATTGTGTTATTAGTCACACTACTTACAGTAGAGGAGTATGCGGCGATTAGAAGGAAACTTCAAATGAATGTGACGCTGTGCTTTCACTGAAGATGATGTGATGGTGACTGGTCGTGTTTCGGGTAAAAGCGATACAGTGGTAGCCTACAGTTCACAAGCACGAATGTTCGAGTTAACGCTCAGTTGTACTCAACAAACGAGAGTTGAGTCGTTTTCAAATGAATTAGTTAGAAAGTCGTGTGAATAGGAAAACTGCGATCACATGCGAGTGGCGTTCAAAATCCTGAATACTAATCTGTGTTCAAACTCCAGGGCATTTTTTGCAAGATTTTAATAATTATGGTATGACAGTGGTATTATATAAAACACATACCTGCCATTTTGTCTCGTTCCTTATGGACAGCGAGAAGTTACCCGTTTGCTTGGAATCTACTGTCCAGATGTGGATTCCACACAACCTCCGGTGGACGTTGCCGTTAAACAGCCTGCGCATCTCAGTCATCACAGACGACGCCTAGATATCAAACCATGTAAAGTATCACAGCAGGACGGAGTAGACATATCCGTAGACCAAATCATTACCAGTAACAGCCCTGCATGCACGGCTGCAATAGAAAAGGTGCCCTGCTTCTCTCCGATTGATCTACCCCAAGAGGAGCCAGTTATCACCTGTGAAGCCTCTGCATTACCAGGTAATTTATTCCAATCAGCCATGCTTTAGACGACTGGCAAAATGTCATTTTGTGGAAAAAGAAATGGTGAAACTTGAAAAAGTAATTATTGGAATGCTGTTTTCAACACTTGACTTTCGTAAGCTGGGGCTTTCCAATAATTTACTGTATTCCTGTCAACTGTTGGATTTCAGTTGTGGTTGCCGTTGTGTGCGGCGTCGATAGTGATGACGTAGGTTCGAAAATGACGTCGTTCTGACAAAAGTCATTTCTGAGGTTGAGGTGCAAATGTTTGCCTGTTGCTTCTCTGTGCTGAATCTTGAAAGTGTGGTCTACAAGTTTTGTTTCACGGCGTTGAAGCCTTACTGGAGTTGACAATTGTCTTGTTCGACCTAATGGTTCTTTACCTCGAGAACAGTAAATTTCCTTCATTAGAGTTTAATCAGACTAGCCAACCAGTAAAATGTTTCTCAGATGTAGTCATTCGGTACTGGCTCATCTGCAAAATTAACGACATGAATTATTTCATGTTTTGACCATCCAATGGTGGAGCATATTATCAATCAGTGAATTGAGAAAGGTCACCAAATCCAGGGCGGAGTTAGGTACAAGTACAACTACTTCTGAACGCGCAGTTCCAACTTGAACCAAGTGATTGCAACGGCTCTAGCAGATCGCAAGATTTTCGCATTAGGGTGACGTAATAGGACTGAATGTGCAAACTGAGCCAGCACATGAGCCGGTTGTTGATGCGGTGTTTCTATATCGGTGAAACGAACCACACTAGTTGCTATGGCAGGGCGTTCATGATGTAAAGGCCAGGGCAGTAGTACACGCGGACTGTTAAGTTGAGCAATGTAGCCAGCTCGAACGTTTTGGCTTCTCTGTCGATCTCAGGTATACTGGATTACGGTTGTTTTCTGTTACTAACTTGGTCTGTGTTCACTCAATTCCCTCAAACATGTTAGCGAAAGCGTGCGCTAGGGCGGATATTCAGCAGTGCAGGTTTTATTTTTCGTCATATTCTAGTGCACACAAGTGTGGTTGAACCTCAGTTATTTGTGGTACATTCTCTCGCTTGGTCGCTGTTTTGTAGTCCATTCTTCAATACAATTGAGGGAGCATACATTCACTTTAGACGGTCATTTACAAACGAACCAACGTTCATTAAAATGAATCCACTTCACTGTGCCTCTCGTTTGATCAACACTCAATCACATATATCGGGTCAGCATTAGCATGTGTAAACAATGTAACCTTAATTCTTCATTTAATGACTTTTGGCTCAAATAGCCACACAATCACATAGAATGAAAACTGGTTGACGAACTTGTGGTTGCCAGAGATTCATCTTCAGGTTATTACATTTCTAATGGCTGAATAATGCTTTCTGATCAAAGGGTGGGAGAAATACAGATAACTTTGGATGGTGAGAAAGCAATTGACTTGATCCTACTCATCAACCGGGTGGTATAGACAGACTGCTAATGTTAACCCAGTATGAATGGAGCATATGTCAGTGCGTGAGAGAGTAGGGGGCCAGGGGATTTCAGAGACTTGGGTAAACCTTTTATATCATCCTACCAGAGGTTACTGTAATCGAATGGTGATTACACTGGCTGTCGCTAGGTTTGGGCATTTTGTGGGTGATCTGAAAAGACTTACCAGGTTTCACATTGTGACTTTTTTGATTCAAAAGCGAATGAGGCTGAGCTTTTGTTAGTGATAATTGGGTCCTGCCTACTATGAGGTCTATGGCGACAAAGTCAATGGTCAACACGATTGTCTTCTGAAAGCACGGCCGGAGTTCTAGTCCCGGGCGTGGCAAGAATACGCACCGTTGGCGATTTCTAACAAGAGCATATCTCGAGCCTAGTGTTTCTTTTCAAAAGAGGCTAACTGGAGAGTCTACCGGATTGCGACAACTGCTACCACTGTTGAGTTATTCTCGACTTATGGTAACGTTAGTTTTTGTTTTTTTCATGATGACAATGATGTGCTTGCTCTAGCCTGGAAAATTCCAAAGATTTTACATATTCATCGTTTGTATGCGGCATGAGTGAATTGAAATGTGATGTTTGACGCTGCTTGTATGTGGCTGTATCATCATTCAAGGCAGATTTATCGTTTGTGTGTGTACAAAAATTCATTTGGACTACATGTTGGCAATGCAGTCGACTATAGGTATGTAGAATAAATTGACTTTTAGCGGAACGACATGAATTAAATACATGGTTAAGAAACTGATGGATATCATATACGGTTTGATATCTTTGACGACTGAATAGATACACAGTGGCCGAAGACGTATGCGATTAACTTCGCGACAAAGTTGAAATTGTTCATTTCGAAACTGAATCATCACGGGAGTACCTGTAGCTCCGTGAGGCTAGCTTGGTTGGATCCTAGGATGCACTAATTTTTACGCTCCAAGTGGCTTATGGTATAGACTTGTCATCAGTTATGGACGTCACAATGAAACCAATCGAGGATAAAACATTCAATGCAAAATGTCTAATCGTTTCTCCACAGGCAACTTGCCATCGGTTGCAGTTGACATTTCGAACTTATACTCAACCACCGATCTTATGAGAGCTGTATGAGATGGTGGCACAAATTCACAGCAATAATATCGTTGCAGTGTCCGGGGATGTTGGTCTCAGTACATATCAACTGGGAAGTAGTATCATTAAGTTTACTATGCTTAGTGGAGAAACAATATGCAGTGCTTGTTTTGGGGACTAGTGTACGAATGCAGAGGCGTTTGAGCTCGATGCACGTATCATCTCGGACCTGGTTGAGAACGTTCGATTTTACCGATTCCACGTTCTTTCGTGTGTTATTAGTTGAGAGTAGAGTGAGTTTTACACCTATTCGGACACATCTATAGTGCTTATTTTGATTTTATTTGCAGACTTTAAGCTATTCTGTTTTCGGCTTTCACAACACAGTGTTTGTTTCCGTGTGAGATGCAAGGGTGCATGTATATTAAGGATTGCGCACCCTGATCCTATGAAATCATGTGTTGCCTTTTTTGCTTCCATGATTCACGTGATCGTTATCTAGAGTGATGCTTGCTTGACGATGACTTTATAGATAAGAATTTTCCAGCTATGATTATTCTTACTTCACTTTGTCCGATAAACTAGTGGTGAATGTTATCCAATTATTTACTAGGTATGGTATAGCATCTTAGCTCAGTTGAAAAATAAAGTTGATTGAGTAGGCGAGCAAGCACCTTTCGGTTAAATCATGTGGTTTCATTTTTTAAATCACATGCATTTTTCTTAACTCGCATTGGCCTTAGTGTGTGTGTGTGTGTGTTTGAATGCATATGTTCAGTAAACGGAAGCTACCAGTTTTAGATGAGATCCAATTGTGACAAATCAGGGCTTCGACTAGATTCGAATCAACGACAGAAACACCATGCCTCAACGGGACAAGCGCTGTACCAGCTGAGCTACGAAGCCACGCCAGGAGCTCGGAAATTTCACATTTTTGTCCTCTTCGAACTATTCCTTTCTCGTTTACCAGTTCAGATGATCTGCCAGCTGCTTTTGCATACAAGTACCTTATAAAGGTCGTTTGTTTCATTTCCAGCCTTACTCGCTGTTGAGAATTCAACTGAGTCCCACGTGAGGTCACCAATCCGACCGACGAAGTCCGACTTTAGACAATCCCTGCTTCGTGTGGGCACAGAATCTGTCGCTTCGCTTTACAATCTGGTGCAACTTGGTTCTGGCGCGTTATGGTCCAAGGATGCCCTGTCGTTATAATTGACAGATTGCCTTCGTCTGGTTTCTTTATCACGCGTCCAACTTGTAAACCACTTGAACTACAAACGTTTGCTTCAGAATAAGGCTACACCCTGTATCTTAGCACTTCCCGTAAAGTAATAAATACGGACAATTGTTTTTTGCTTTGGCATGAAATTCAAATTAAATTAATCTGAGAAACTTGGCGCTTTGTGTCTGTTCGTATTTTCCTCAGTATGTTTTTATTAGGTGGCCATCCACCTGTGTCGGCTGTTTGATTTTGCCGTTAGCTTCGGGGAAAGTCATCCGCTCCACCCAAAACCGACGTCATACCACCTTGTTTTGCCCGCTGTTTAATATGTGATACCAGATTGATTTGTCCGATCAATGCGGCTTTGAGTAGCAGACGGTATTGTTTTTTGAAAATTGACTGTAATCGATAGTACAAATGCAACCGATAGATAGCCATTGCGGTGAGCCAAAATATGAGCAGACCGTACACACTCAAACCCATCCAAACAGTTTTGTCTGTTTTGCCTAGCCATGCCCACGCGGACTGTTGATGTTGCCCCAACGCGCGTGTTTGCGTATCAGGCCCTGCACGACCAGCAATTATGCGTTCTAGAGCGAACCATGTGTGAAGCAAGTAGTCCAGAGTCCATCGGGTTACAGCACCGGCGTTTAGTTTACATTCTTCAATGGAAGTGGCGCCGATTTTGTCAGTGGTAAAACCTTCTGGGCATGGTAAACATCCTGCACTACTCGGCCATCCTGTGTTGCCCAGATAGTAGCCCCGTGGGCAACTGTGACATCGGTCGAAGGCGTAGGGCGCGCGTGGAGCTTGACCATCGGCGCATGGATGGCACAACATTTGGAAGGAGAGCAGTACAGATGCAGAACTTTCTTTCAATGTGTTATTAAGGAGACTTTCTAAATTCAAATTTCGCAAAGCCGGTATAGCCATGTACGTGTGACTTCCGGGCGGGCAAATCGCTTGTATTCGGGTGGCCACTGTAATGGTTTCGTCTACATCTTCCACATTTATTTGCCTCTCCAAATCGACCAGAATGTATGTATCTAAGCTGTGTTTCAATTGGGCGTGTAAATATCCCAGCTCACCGTCTGTGGGACTTGCGAGCAGATTTAAAGGTGGATTGCTTAAGTCAATCACAAGTCCAACTTCAATGTAACCTAACCCGGTGGACTGTACGAGCGGCATCGTTTCTGTAGGGCTTGTGAGTTTGATAAACGGTCTACGTTGTTCATAGATTGCGGAGCATATGTTCGTTACATAGTTTCGAATAGAGCGTTGTTTTGAGCACCATTCCTCAATAGGTGTTAGTAGGACGCTTCGGTTTTCGAACTCTATTTCTGGAGGCACCGCGTAGTTCCAGATAATTAATGGTTGTGCATAAATTCGGAATGTGAAGAAGATCTGGTTTCCAATGTGTGTCTCCCTTTCGAACTGTTGCCATGGTTGCTGAAATCCAATCACGGTAGATGCCTGTAATTCACTGCATGTAACAGAATCCATGTGATGAACTTCAAGCAGTTGGTTCACACCTCCAATCCAGTTTTTATATTCCGGTATCAGGCTCATTGGTTTTTCATTCGGGGCTGTCTCTCGTGGGACGTATTGCGTCACAGATAATTCGCTTGCCTCGAAAGCGGGCACGTGAACAAGAAGGATTTCGCCAACGTGTATCAGTTGACCCAGTCGGTCATACCAGGCGGCAATAGAATTGGACACGAAGTCCATGGTTAGGTTGGCATTTTTTTGTGCCCACCACTCGAATGTCTCCGATTTTTCCACACTGCGTAATTTGCACGGTATACGCACTTGTTTTCCTGCAGGCAGCCAAACAGTGTGCTGCAATTTTTCGCCACGAGCCTGGAAAAACAAAGCGGTCAAGATTAAATAGAACGGTCCATTCATTCTGTCAGGGCTTTTGTACAGCGCGAGAGTTGTATCGTCTTGTAATATCGGTTTGAATGTGAATCGATCGATAGGACTGTGACTCATGTTGCATGGTTAAAACTGGTCAGTTTGACACATGGTAAGCGAATACTTTAATGCTTTTGAATTCGGAATGCGAGTGTATATTGGCAGTAATTTGGACTAGTATATTTTTTGATGCAGCCCTTCCTTGACGAAGTCTATTCGTCGTGTATCTTAAGATTGTTCGTATCTTCGACCCTGCAATAAGTCCACCATGCAGTAGTAATGTTAGATGAATACCAGTCTTTTCCGTTTATCACCTGTTGTATATACTTGCTTGTATGTTGTCTGGATTACATCATGTTTTTCTCTTTTCTCATATCTAATTACGATCTGTAGTGGACCCGTATCAATTGCCGCTCACTTGGTCAGTAATATATTTTTTTTATACTGAACTTCATTTGAGGGGTTTGAAGATTTCCTGAATCAGTCCGGTTTTTTTCATGGTTAAACTTATTTGATTATGAAAATGCGTAGCTGCATTTCTAGGCGGAAGAACATGAATCACAGTAAACAGGCCATTCAGCAACAGTTATCCGTAAGGATATCTGCTTAAACAGATGGGCTAGCTCAACTTCGTCGGGTGAATCTCCAGGCTGCGGATTGAGAACTGACTTCCACGTGAGGGCGAATTCCGGAATAGGCGAAGTTCTCACGGCGAATACACAGTCTGTGACAATGAACGTGGCCGATTCACTTTTAGTAGCTAAATAAACTCTTTCATAGTACTATGGTTTAGCGTACGTTACTCCACCAGAAATGCGTTTCAAATGCCCCAATGAGAGTACGTAGGCTCCTGGACGGCATGTTGGCTGTCTGTCCTACTGTCCCTATGGAATACAGACATTTCCAGTCTTTGCCACTCATGCACAACTTCCCAGGACGGTATACAAATCACCTCACTGGTCACTGGTTCCAACAGGTAAGCAAGGTGTACTAGAAACTTTGAATGAATGGACCCAATTCGGAGGGCACATGAACCAACTTGGTCACCGGCAACAGGAGGCAATCGTCGCAACAGCCCTGTAGGTCTTAGACTCCTTGGCTAGAAGTATCTTCTACACCAGGTCTGCTTTCTTTGGCAAATCCTTGATCTACTGCGCTGCTTTTATCGCAACGTCACAGTGTCCTGGATGGATAGACTCTATTCGAAGGGCATATGAACCGAACCACTGCTGATCACTGGTCCCCAGTGGACTTTGAATTTCGCCCTACTGCCTTGTGAAGTGGGTTTCTTTTGAACCAAAGGCTCCGAGTGGTACCCCTCAAACTAACCCATTTCTTTGACCTGGGCAATCGAGGCTCATTCGCCTTCCAACTATGAACGTATATCATTTGTGAATTTTGTCTTAGGTTCCTATCGTAACTCTGGTCGAGGGGTCGACGGCCGTCTTTGCTCCCATGTCACATTCCACTGCGTCAAGCTAATCAATCTCAGTTTCTTCTGTTTTGTTGAATAACTTTACTAAGTGATACCGCTAACGCCGTTTTCACACACACATACCTGAGACGTGCTTTATTTGCTGCTCGCGACGGAAGTCATAATCAGAATGGTAATATGCAAACACCAAGTCGGTATCTTCGCTCGATGGACACAAACTATTACTCGCCAAATTCAGTGTTCATACGCTTATGCAGATAGGTCAGCAGACAGCTTCTGCATGTACTTCGAAGCTCCTCGTTATTAATCTGTCTTGCTGTAACATGATTTCAAGTTCAGTGCTACAACTTTCCATCAACCACCTCGCTATGAGCTTACAATGTGCGCTTGTCCAGATACATTTTGTGACTAAAGCCACTGGTCAACCTGGCATTGGAGTTAACCTAAGCGCTGTCGGCACGAAGGTAGGGTTAGAGCATCGAGAGGCGCCTATCACGGACGGTCTTTGTTGTTACGGCAAATGACCCCACAGACTGTAGTACAGACGTAGACAATGGTAATTTATTTCACCAGCTCGCTAACCTTCTACACATCGCGCGGCACACGGACATTGTAGTACTGACTATAGACTTGGATGCTCAAGTAGGCAGGCTAAGTGCTGACAAGCGTGACTTTGAGGACCCGAATCTTTACATTACTCATCGAACAGATAACGGTGTGCGTCTGTTGCACCTCTGTGCTGCTAACGATCTATCTCTAATTTTTGACGTTCTGGACATCAGTGCACCATCTGGCTGCCTCCATCGCTACGTCAATCGTGGACACAAATTGGGCGAAATGCCGTCGTCTATCGGGGATGTGGATGTTTTCAAGATTGAAAGTCAATCCGGAGCGCCTGCGTGGATTCCGATCATGTATTGACATGTTCGCATGGACGCAAGCGCCGTACAACTTCCTGAACGTTGGTCAAACTGAATTTGTGTGATGTCGCCTCGCTGCATCATTCGTTTTAAGGAGTTAGTGGTTTGATTTTCAGCAAACCCCGTTTTGTCTTAAAAAACGGATTCACAACATTGCCGATGTTGAGACTAATCCTGAAGGACAATCTACTAGTCCACGGTCAATCAATTCTCGTATATTCATTTTCATGCTGCTGTTGTACTGCAAAATATGCTGGTCTTACGATTAGGCGGTTGTCAAAAAGGAACATCACCCAACTTGGATGGGAACCGGTTGTAAATCAATTATTAGTGCCATCGTTGAACATCTTATCGTCACTAAACCGTTCCGGGTTGTCTACAGAGTTGGCAACACCTAGTCCGCCAGCGCATTCTC